ATTTATACTACTGATAAGTAGCTAAACAATTTTTGATAATATATTATGGCTTGAAGTAAATTTTTGACAGAGGAGATAGTGATTTCAATTAAAACTAATATCTCAGTAGGTACTTGATACATCCAAGATTATTCTACGTAGATTTTCAATCACCTTTCTGTTTGTGTAGTGAAGTTTATCAGTCATAGAGGAAGGGGATTGAGAAAGGTTATTTCACTTGAGTTTAAATTTACTAAGATACAATACTAATTAGTAACGGAATCATTAATATTACAGCAAATATGATTACGTTTATAAATTTCATCGACACTCTCATTATAACCACCAGTTATCTATAAAATAATCTTTCATCATCATAACATATATATATATATATATATATATAATGGCAGTAAATAAGTGTACATAGGGTTATTCAGTGGGGAAGTCCAGATTTTGTAACGAAGATAATATCAATGATTAAAAAGAGAAAGGAAGTTAACCATAAAATGAATAAACAGTGAACAACCAAATTTAAAAATACCACCCAAGTAAAATGGCGTTAAATCAGGAGAAATCGGTAAACTTAAGGAATAATAAATACTAAACAAGATTGACCGATAGAATTCGGAATAATAACATATTTACTTACAGTGTGTATCCGAAATGATTTAGGGTTAAAATGATGGGATTAAATTCTTGTATACTTCTCATCAGTTGATTCGGTGGCAAGATCTAGGCTACAATAATGTTTTGGTCATGTGGGAGAGATGATGATATAAGCTGAAACACTCAGTATGAAATCTAATAAGTAATTGTGAACGTTTTCATGAAGTCAAGTTAGTGCAAAGAAATATGTATGGAATACAAACGTTCTTGACGACGTTTATCTACATACTGACCGTAGTTTCTTAACTTGTTCAACCGAAAAAAAACTATTAACAGCGAAAATTCTTTAGTTGAAGGTAAGTCAAATTCAATGACGCAATGAAAAGCTAACAAACGTTTCTAGGATGTAAATATATAGATGGAAATACCATTAAATAAAAAGTTTTTGATGTTTTCTCAGAAAGTGATGGCATGTAGTCTGTAAAATATATTGTATCTCGTAATGCTAATAATCTACTTAACATATAATTCTGATCTGTATTTTTAGGTGATAATAGCTTACCACGTTTGAGGACAGTTATTGACCAGTTGTTTTGCAACAATTTTATTAATTCATGTATCCCCTACTAAATCTCATCGAAAGATTATTATTTCTGAAGTGTTATGGATATTAGTCGTTGAGGTAACTAGGACTCATAGGTTTTGTTCATAATTAGGAGACATTATTCTTCGTTCACAATTTAGAATAATGGTGATCTATCTCATTATATTACAATATGTATCCTGAACACAGTTAATGGGTGTAAATAAACTCTAGCTATTCGTAAACAGGAAAGCAGTTATTTTTGATTTTTTAAAAATAGAAATGTATACTAATAAGATATATCCAAACATCTTCGATAAGAAATATGATCGATTATGTAACTATCTAATCTAGTAATATATAAGGCCTTTTAATGTTCAATTAATATTATCAAAGGCATTCTTCTTTCTTAAAATCTAGATTCATAGTGTTTATAGTTCAAAGGAGGTTTTATGCGTCTGGAGTATTTTAGTTCAGTTGTCAATTCTGTTTTCACGTGTACCTTTGTCAATCAAAAGATAAACTGCTTAGCTAAATTTTTAGGATTATCAGTTCATTATATATTATCTATAAATCAAAATAACTACCACAAACTAACTATTGCGCAAGATCATGGATCGATTAAATTTAGACATTAACATCGTTGGATGCCGGTTCAGTGGTCTAAAGGTTAAGCGTCCACTCATGAGACCGAAGCTTTTCGGTTCGAGTCCCGCATACGGAATCTTGGATGTGCACTGCTGAGGAGTTCAATACGAGACGGCCGTCTAGTGTCTCCAGGCTTTCAGTGGTGACCTAGCTTAGGTCGACTCATGCATTCAGTTGTGAAAATACTACAATCACCACTCATCCCCATACTGATAACCATTAGTAACCAAAGATAAAACTAGTTTATGAAATACATAATATCACCAAGCAAAGATATTTTCATAAATAGATTTAAAACGATATCACTTATGATCCCCTTACATTTACTGGTAAAGTAAAACAAACATCTTCTTTCCAACTGTGCTTCAAATATCATGTTACTTCTTTTTAATTTATTGATTCAGCGTATTTACAATTCCTTGGTTCAGATCACTGACATTTCATGATTTCCAGAACCACTATTTATTATGGTTTCAGTGTTGTTAATGAATAAAACTTTTACAGACTTGGTTAATTCAAGCGTAATTCCCACCTTAATTTGATATCATTTTGGTAAAAAGTGGAAGCCTTGGGATAACGAGCAATGTTTTTCAATTCTTCAATGGTTTTCTAACAAGTAAATTTCATTTGTCTATTACAATGGATGGTAGGTTGCGACTAGATCTATGCACGACATAATAGTTCATTGATTTCTACTTAGTAGCTCAACGACAAACTTCTCAAAACGTCACCGTTTGTTCCTTTTTTGTTCTGTACTAAATATTCACATGGAGTTAAACAAACTTTCAAAAACTTGATGAAGTTAGTAATTGTTTTCAATGGATGTTATACTTAATGCTTCGGTTTTTTACCCCTTAGAATAATTACAAAGAATCCTAACAAGAGCTCTTTAGTGATGAAGATATGATTTGGTAATCAATCCTAACTTCACAGCAATACATTATGAGGCTACTAACATTGTCTTCAGTGGAGTACTTTATTCAGTGAACTCTAGTTTGTAAATAAATAGCTTCTAAGTATATTTTTTTACGTTTTGCTTTTAAAACATGCTTTAGATAATTTCAGTAAAGATATTGTTTTGCGTAATGCCGTTGTGTTGCTGAAAGTCTGAACTACAATTCTAAGCTTTTGAAGTATAATGACAGTAGATCTTCAAACCGAGGTAGATTACTGAGATGATATATTTACAACGCTTATGCTATCACAGAGACTTTAACGCATATAATTTAAAGCCTAACAGTAAGATAGAGGTGTTCATTGAAATAATTCTAGATTTATAAATATGCAAGTATTCTCGGGGAATTTCATCTGGGCTTTGTAAATAATTACAATTAGCTGCAAAACTTCTATCCCAGGTTCTACGTCAGTTATCTTAGATCGTTTGATATTAATAATAATATGATAACATAGATAGTCATTTAGTTAAGTAGCTACCTTACGGAATCAATCAGCTGTTTGTAAATGCATGAAGAAATGAAATTATTATTACTTTCTTTTTTACAGCTGGATGGAAGTGAAACGCTTAGTTAGATTTAGTTTTTACTTTTAAGCTGTTTAATAGATGGGAATCTACGTGCTTCAACCAAGTTGTTGTTCAGATCACGGTTAACATTGCAAATATAGGACGTATCATCTTTACTATTTACAGATATAGATTTTACTGACTACTAAGGACAAAATCGCTTTAAGTGAAATCTTCTTAAATTAATCACCTGGTAGAAAGCTCCGAAGGTGCAATAAGCATATACATTATTGAAAAATACCTTAGTTCTCAATTATATTTATAAAACTAAATAACCAGATCGTGGTTGCTAAAATCAATTCAATCTGTCAAATGTAAGTGAGGACCTAATACATACGAGATTAAAGTAACCACACTACATCACAGTGAGACAAAATTACCATACTAAATTCCAGGGTCTTAGGGAAAACTAAGAGTTCATGCACTTATGCAATTGTAATCGATTTGGACCCATATCATTCAACATCCTGTTATAATAGTCAAACAGATTCCAACCAGGTAGTCTTCACATTCCTATATGGTTTAGACTTTGATCACTGCCAAGTTTCGATTTGACCACCCCTGTCCTTGCAAACCATTTATGCTCTAAACAACAGATGTTGATATACGGAGTGGTTGGAAATACGTAATGGATGTCTGAACCACCTGACCTATTATAAAAGATTACATGTATCAATTTATTAACTTCCTATTTACCTCACGATTCAAACCGTTATTTTTTATGTTATAGACTTTCTAGAAAATAATAAGTTATTCCAAACAAAGTTCACTACCGAGTGGTTAGATTATACACATTTGTCACTGATGAGATAAAAATCTATGCCGTAAAGAAGTGCCTAGTATTGGCTAGTATCTGGGAGCCAACCTTCAGGTGCTAGAATAAATATTTTATGGTGAAGATTTTACTATGGTGTAACTCATTATTACTCATTTGAAAAAGTAATAGCAAAGGACACTGAATCATAAAGACAGTGTAAAGAATAGCTCAGGTGATTTAAATTCTTGAGTATTTTTCAATCCATGACTAGTGTATGAAAGGAATCTAATTGAAATTCTTCTTTTACAGTTCGAGTTAACTATTAAAGATCGTAGTAATTAGACATTTTACATACTGAGAGTCATAAAAAACACTTTCCTCGAACATTGAGAAAAAACCTATTATCGAGCTAGGATCAGAACTCCATTCACAATGTTTGAAATAACGACAATACAACTGAATTCGATAGAATTTTATGCATCAAAAATATTTAATAATTTACGTTATGGATTTGTAAGTAGTTGGTGGTAAACCATAAGATTAGGTTTCCTATTAGTCGACACCCATCGTAAAGGTGTAACTGTAGTACTGTGAGAACTGATGCTGCCTGATGGATTAGAGTACATATAATCTAGTTTAATAGTCTCATATATTACTATCAAACTAATCGAACAACAACTGGATAATTTTTCACAATTGAATAATCACTAAGTAGTCCTCATATTTGTCTAGGCCTCTAGAAGTGACCAAATTCTATTGATCAGTTAATTAAGTCACTGATAAGATAAGATGAATATCTTAATATAAATAACAATCAACCATCGAGATATTTATATTGAAACAAAATGATAAATATTTCATTCAATAATCACTTGATATATATATATATATATATATATATATATATATATATATATATATATATTTCTCTAACTGTCATGACAACAATTATTATTCAAAATATACAGCATGTATAATACCAACAGCAAATATTTTTGAATTTGAAAATATGGCTGATGCATAAGTATCACCCATTTCAACATTCCATACAGATTGACTACTAATAAATATACTATTACGTTCCGGTGAACCAATATGAACTTGTACAACAAATTTATACCTTGATGGAGTATTTAATTCACGTACATTTTTTCTTAACATATTTGCTAAATTCATTGATAAAATACGTGCTTGTAACGGTTCATAGATAACATCTTTCAATGTGTGATCCAATGTTGTTTGAATTAAATTTCGTAACTATTAATAGATTAGTTTAAGTAAAACAGAAATGTTATATAATAGTGAAAGAACAAAATATAATGTGTACTATCATATTTAACATATTACATTGCCTTGCACTATAAACATAGCTTATCAAGAGAATAAATTAACACCTGATGTGTTGTGCTGATGATGTCGTTCAGAAGAACGATGAAAGCTTCATGACCAAAACATCCAGCTCAGAGAACAAAACTCCATCCAAATTATCCACCTGAGCTACAAATCTTCTCCACCATCTCATAAATTATCATTAAGATAACTGACACAGTCAATGTTCAATATGAATTTTGAAATGAATTCCTCTACTAATAGTGACTTGAAATTAGATAAAGTAGTATGTATACTTACAAGTTTTGGTAACTTTGTATATTCTTTACAAAGGTTATTTACTTTCTTACAAATGCAACAACAGTTACACTGGTTTGATTACAAGTAAACGGAAATGCCAATCATAGAGAGAAGACTATTGGTATTGTTCATATGTCTTTGGGAAAAAGATAGTTTAAGTTCCTCATCATAATCATTGTTATCAGTATGGAGGTTCGAAGAGACTGCTGAATGATCTCGAGATTATGGACCAACCTAAGTTATTATTACTTTGAGTAATTCCTATACTGATAACTAAATACATATGTTTCAAAAGCAATTCGAACAGAATTAAAATCGAATTATTATAGAAGTTACCTAAAATGCCAAACCATGGTGACTGCATCAAATCAAAGCACATTATTAAGCATTCAATCGAGATGAAAGCAGAAAACTAGATGCAACTGATGAGAGTTAGGATTCATTACTTCTTTAAGGTTATGACCTGTATCTGACACAATGCAGGTGTATTCTCGAAGACAGTTAATTGTACGCTATAAACGCTCAGGAGAAGTTGCATTTGTATTGATGATAACTGTACCAGCAACATCTCAATACTTATCTTGTAAGACCACATAAAACCTTTCTTCAGATACTTAATTCGTGAACTCTCAAATGCCTTAAAAGTAAATGATATATATAACTGATTGCAAACTCCATGATCAGTGTGGCAATCTACATTGTGTATAACAAAATAATATAAGTTACAGTAAACTCAATCTGAAATATATAAGTCATTGATGTTTCGGAATTGATAACAACGAAGGTGAATATCAGTGAGAACTAAAACTATCCCTGATGATCTACGTGACTGAGTGTTAATAATGTTTAGTGGTCTCATTAATCATATGAATAAATAAGTAAAGCTGATACAGTTTTTGAGTTGACATAACTAAAATTATTTTTTAATCATAATTACAAATGAGCACCAATAACGTTGTTTGGTAAATTATAATTTATGGATGACCTTTGAGGAACGCTAAAGTGACCTTGAAAATGAGGGTTTTAATGCAGTGTGATGAATTAAGATTATAATTTTCAGTTGATGGTTAGGGTTAGGAATTAGATTTAGAGTTTTCACCACGAACTAACATAAGCTGAAATGCCAAAACTTTATTTAGCCAAATGGACGAATGAATTTCGCGCCAAAATAATGTTATCCTAAATCTGATTGTTTCGTTCATATATTACAGTCTCGCCAGTTATTTTTATCAAACTCATCATTCTTTAATATGGATAATTACAACCAATTATCAAATTTCACTGGTAAAAAAACTAACTTGTTTCTGTTTAATTCTTTCATTTGGTTTCGGTTGTATTCTATATGTATTCTCATATTTTATATTTTTATTAACTCCACCACGTAACATTCCGATAAGTGAACCATGTCCACCAAACAATGATCTACGTGATGCAAAACTAAAACGACTTTGTCGTCTTGACTGAGTAATAATTGATGGACGTCGACTATCTGTTTGTGATGTGTCATGTGATCCTTTACGAGTTTTATCAGTGTCATCAATTGAATCAATTCTGGATAATTTTTCAGCAGACATTCTTTTAGATTTAGGTTAAATATTCATATACTACAGTAAATAATTTTTAACAAAAAAATAAAATAAACTTGTTAAGAGCACCAAGTTCACAATGGTGTTAAACGAGATCGTGCATAATTTATATTGGAAGGAAATATTGGTTTAGTTAATCCTTACAAAATAAAGTATTTTCTTTTGTTAAAAGTGCTTTACTAATTTTGTGCATTTCATCTCTTACATACAATGTGAAAACAAGTAAATTCACTGACTAATTACTCAGGAGTAAATTGTAACATATTGTTTGGTATGGAATGATGATTGGATGCTGTATGTTAATCCCATGAAGTAGCCACTTGGTCAAGTGATTGGACATCATTTTGTTATGCAATTCTTATTTGGTCGTTGAAATCAATTGATAGGGCTTTTTGTGGACAATTAAGTGAGGACTTCATGTATCTGATTGTTATTATTCTGGGATTATTTCTTTTACGAAACAAAAATAAAGGAGGGTAATAGATCACACTGAGATCAAATATTTCTGTTACATGCTGTAGTCATTCTGATTCATCACTTCGGTGGATATTGCTTTTATAATACATGAGAAATTCACACGACAATACCAGAGTTGTTACAAATACAGACACATATCAGATGATTTCGTTCTATTCAGTACTTGTCAAAAAGGTGTGCCAGTAATCTTGAAAGAATTGATACTTCGTGTCACTCAACTTCATTCAGAGACATTTACATTGATCTATTTGGGTTATATCTAATCTTCTGTAGGGCTGAAGTGCATTCATAATTGAGTGGCCACTGAGTGTTGACCAATGTCATGTATAACAAGTCCTTAGTCCTGGTTGAATTCTATAGATATAGACACTTTACATCCCATCATAGTGTATATGATATGGGGTAACTTAGACTAATGATCACATTGCAATTTGGTCGGTATAATTCACTTAACTTTATGAAGAACTTAGTATTCATCAAATTGTTTATTACTTAATGGTCAATCAACTTTCAGTACACTTGGTGATTTACAAGTAACATAAAACACATACGAGAGATCCTACAATTTTCATGCAATTGGTTTCCTTTATGAATTTAAATAGAGCAAGAACAAACATTGATGCAGAATAGTATGAATTCATATTATTTCGAGGTTTCTCGTCAGCTGCTTACAATTTTGGTTTTGTTTTCTCTAAGGCTATAAGATATTAAAATGAACAGTTTTGACAAAACTAAATAAAATGCTTTATGAAGATTTAGATATACGTTAGTACCTAGTAATCAGTATGCTTTCGGAAAGTCTTAAGATCAGCACACGTCATGAAAAAAAACTAATTATTACAGAGCTAGAAATTCAAAATGCTATGTAAATAGATGATCATTCTTTTTCCATACATTTGACATAAACAATATCGTGTATATAGTGCCGCTTCATTTAATGACAAATGATGTGATTTTTATGTACATCAGCGATTATAGCTAAACTTCCTGTAAATTTACCAAACATCCTTCAAAAATTAAATCCTATTTAACTCTAAAGTTAAGTTCTCGCAAACAATGTTTAAATGTTATTACACATAAAAATACAATAGCTTTAGTAAGGTTTACGAAAATGTATATTGTTTTCATTCTAAAAGAAATTTTAAAAGGTTCCCGTTTATAACTGTTATATCCTAGTGAAGATTAAATTATGGGTAACTTCTAGGAACTGTTTATGGACTAATATTCTACATATATTCTCATTGTATAATTGTTATGCAACTAAATTGTATATATATTCCTATTATTATAAGCTTTTATTTGACCTATCGACTAATATTATACGATATATTATTCTTAAGTTATTCGCAATCTATTAGTAACAGTATCTCACAATCACAGCCACTTTTAGCCTGATCTTATTTTCTATTTTATGGTATGATGCGGTCTGGTTTGTTTGTATATACACCAAATATGTCTGAAATATATGATTCATATAACGGAGGCTGATATTGATGTTCTGTACTGAACCGGATGGGTTAGACGAGAAGCTACCATCTCGGAAGTCCAATGAGAGTTCACAGTGACTCTAAGCTGTTCGTATATATTCACAGGGCATAAGAACATAACAGTAACATTTAATAAATTCATTAGAACTTTATTGTGAATATATTAAAAAAAAATATAGAAAGTGATGTTCTTAATACAACGCTACTCAATGATGATTTTTTAAAATTTAATCTTAATCTGAATACAAGTTCATTTGATGTGCTTCCAATGATTGTTAGTACAGAATAGCTGGAATTGTGATCAATGGCTGATATAGAATTACTACTTTCTAATTGGAAAATTTTAATGCTTAGGTTAACAGTTGTTCTCTTCTTTGAAAATATTCTCAATCCACCTTTCCAAATTCATTATGTTCATGCTAATCGAATCATTTTTTGATTAAAACAGTCTTTAGAGGTTTGAATTCTACCAAACAACTTATCTAAATAATTACTGATTGCTAATTCTATCTGAACAGATGAATTTACTGAAATCCAAAAACCATTAATTGTTATATTAACAATAGCAAAAGAACCCATTGAGTTTAAAAATGAAACTCGGTACTGATTACTGGAATTCCATGACTGTTATGTAATTTCATGAAACGTTTGAAAAGGTAGTGACAATTAGTATTCCTTCACCCAATGTCTTAGTATTAGACAGGACATTTTCATTAACAGGACACAATATATACTTATTACTAATCAATAAGTAAAGTTACTCTTAAATGACGACAATAAAAATTAATAGTTGCATATCAATAAAACTTGTATATCATTTCAGATAACTATTGAAATGTTATTGTAAATAGAAAAAGCATTTTAATATATTTCATTAAATAATCGGATTCTTGTATTATAGTTCTCCTTCCCTAATAGGTCCTATCGTGTTGCTTGTTAATGATTTATCTGTATAAAAATGAATATAATAGCTCTATTCAATGGTATGCAATGGGTGTGCAACTTGTAAGCTTGATTAAAATACTTTCAAATAAAATTAGAAATCTTTAGACTTGAATTAAGTTTAAGATCATTGATTTACATAAGATCGGCAATTGAATTCGAAATGAGATTTGTAAATGTTGAGGTACTAATCGTACGGAGTTACAACTTATTCACAGTGAAATGGATAGTCGATAGGTTATTCCTATTTCAGTCATACATTATCTCAATTAAAATTAAATCAGATTAGAAGATAATACAAAAGTCATACCACATATAGATTAGACAGTTGTTTCTGGATAGTGGAATAACTTCCAACCGTATTTGTTGACAAAATAAACTTTATCATATACAATATACCTTTTCAAAGTAGTTAACCTATCCGGTGTCACTGTTATTGCCTGGAATGGTAGTTACGTTTAAAAGTTATGAATAGGGGTCAGTGATTAAGTTATATGGCTTCCAGATTATCCACCACTAGATGTTTATAAATAAAGCTCTACTAATATGAGAATTTCGGCTCAGAATCCACGAGTAATACAAGATTAAATAAATGAAATTACTTACGACTATTTAAACAGAGTTTCTAGTTGATTATAACTTGAGAAAATTTAAATTAGACTAAAGAATCAGTTAAATGGTTAAAAAGCCATAAGTTTTATCATCATTGTAACCGATGCAACATACAATCAATCTGATACTCTGCTTATTTAAAACCATTTATCATGACAGAGGTTGTATATAACTATTCATATATTCACCATAAGCATAATAATCACCAGACGGAGCCGTCTTAAACAACAGTATGTACATAAAAGTGTGTATGTAAAAAAATGTAGTTACACTTACCGAATTCTACAATTCCGTAACTGTTGAAATTGATTTTCAAATTATTTTCTAGTTGCTTGGTACAATTTCAACTATAATCTATTCATGACGGTTGTTAAAAATTAATTTTTTTTTATATCGCGACTACACGCGTAGTCATTAGCAACCATCAATATTGTTATTGGTTAAATTGAGTTCACAATATTTTTCTTCTTTAAGTTGATTTGTCTCTTGTTAGTTTGAGAAAAGATGACAGATGTTTTAACTTATTTATTTAATTTATAAAACTTTTTGTTCTTAAACTATCTCTTGATTAGAAAAAATAATTCACTCAATAACATATAATACACATAGAAAAGTTGTACGTCCTGTTCCACTAAAAGTATCCTTCTTAAATTTCTTCTTTCCAATAATTTAATGATCACAGGGACAAATTGGTTGCAGTAATATATATATAGAGAATGAGAAACTTGGAATGACTACATTTTGTTGAGTAGCAACTTAAATTACTATGCTTTAGATGAAAACAAAGAAACAATCTTTTTAAGTGACAGGAATTAAATTTGCACACATAGAATCATGACATTTCTAGTCATTTTGGTAAGGAGATGAACACTCCTTTAAAAAACTGAAATATTAGTTAGTAAGCAAATTATTTTAAAGATAAGGATTACTAGATGCTTATTTCTTCATAGTTTTGAACTCCTTAGGAATGATTTAAGCCCTTATACTGGATGAAACCTAAAGATCTTAGGTTTTACGGTGCATATAATAAATTTAACGAACTGAGTTTGAACAAAACGAATGGGACTCTTAATTTCATTTGACTTGTAGTAATCATGAAATTCCATTTATGATAATTGTTTTAGTTCCTACTAGATACTGTCTAGTACTTTCTGGTCTTCATTAACCGATCCATAATAAGAAACATCAATAAATTGAAAAAGTCTCCACAAACTCCTCGACCGATCACAAGTCACTTTAGACTAGACACATCAATTAGTTTTTGAATAACGTTTATATGATTGAAGTTAAATGTTATAAGAAAATGTGTAATAATATATGAAATGTATGTTTATAAGAAATCACATTTCCAAGGGAGTGTTTTGTGTTATTTCAATTTGTATTAATAATCAACGTATCTAAATTTAACCAATCTAATTAACATTTTTAAGTTGCAAGCAGTAATCAACACTGACTGTGTGAAACATCCAAGTTTTTTATTCAAAACAGTTATTGTTGTCAATAGTATGTTTTTATGATATCTCAAGGAGTAATGATTTACATTTCTGACTCTTTGCGACCTGGTGTAAGTCACTTCTTCAGAGTAATTCAGAAAATAATCGGAATGAATTAATACCAGTTTGTAAGCAGAGAAGGGTGGTAGTCAGAAATCCAACCCAGGATGCACATTTCGTCTTATTTTGGACTCGTCAGCTAGATGTACCTGCATTCCAGTGTTGATGCTCACTTCGGGATTCAAACACAATACCGTTCATTTCAAATCTTATCATGTTATCCACTTAGATATTGAGTCCAGGTAGCTACTGACTTGTGCAATGGGATGAAGTTTGTTTCATTTGTATTGGTTTTTTGAATTTTGCCATAGACAATGCAAAATGGAATTAACACAAGTTTATATAGTACAAAGGAAACAAAGCAGGATATTTTTAGCACAAACTAAATCTTAATACATCTGAATATGTTATGTTATCTTAGGTCAAGATGATTCGGCGTATAGGACATCACTGTGTTTATCTGTGTATAATGGTGAGAAGAAAAAGTGTATAAATTTGTAATATGAAGCACAGGAGATGATATTGTGTGTGTTTGTAGATTGTTCAAAAAATAAATAAGGTCAAATATGGTTGTTTGAATAAACATTTCAGGTTCGATGATATTCAGGTCTTCTTTCCTGTTGAGGTCAAAAGGACTTAGCATTTTATGGAAAGCTTCGGTTACTCGCCTATCTTTATAATTGAAAAAGCCTTTCTAAATGATTTTGATAGCATGTACTGCTATTGTTGATTATTAGGTTTTTTTGTAACTTACTTGTTCCTTGGTACCACTCAAGACCTCACGAAAAGAATCTCCTATGTCGAACGTATCACGATCGACACAACCTAGTCTGTTGACACAAATTTGTGTGGATGTAAATGGGATTTTATCTTTTATTATAACTAAAGCGTTTCTTAGAGTGTTGGTTGTTTTATAGAGAGCTTTAATTTTGTATATTTTTAAGGGCCGTTGTAACTCTCTTATAGTAACCTTAGCGGTAGGGTGAAACCGTGGTACTAATCAAAGATCTTTCACTGAAATTGCTATTTATAGATATGTTTTTGATAATATTCTTAGGAAAATTAATAAATCGTAGGTGTTTCTGATATCATCTTTTTCTTTAAGCTTTAGAAGAGCAATAAAGACCATTACTTCATGAGAAGAGTTTGTTAGCTATCTATATAATATGTAGTTTAGGATTTTCGTTCTCTATATTACGTAATTATAAGTTAAATAATTTATAAAATGTAGTCAATAAATATAATATTCGTCAAATGTGATTTCAATTTCTAACAATATTCAGTTAAAAAAAAACTAATTGAACGGTGTGAATTATGACTCTTAGCAGAAATATGAAAGTAACTAACAAATTGGAGACGCACTAATTTCATCTAGACAATACCAAAAAAGTTTTAACAAAATTCTTAGTCTTTAATAAAAATTCTAGGATTATCCATAACTAGCTGAAGTCATTAACATTTTGTGTTTATGATAATAGTTGGAGCAGGAATTGGATATTTTAATTTAATTCAATCAATGGAGTGAAGCATAATTAAAATAAAATTATAGAAAAAGTGACCAACTGACTATAATCTCAAATATTTTCCGACGAAAGTTCATTTATTTTGTAAAATGACTTCAATGAATCCTTCAGAGGAAATTAATATGATACTAACATCAAAGATAAACTCATTTCAATGTTTTAATAAGCAGCGTAAAACATCAACTGTTTACAAGTGGGAATAAATCATTCTTTGCTAAGAACTATGAAACAATTACTCCTTGAATATATCTTTATTTTAAATTAGTTACTGTTGTAAAAATATCAGTTGAGGCTAAGCTCATGAAGAAGCCTGAGAAACCCTCAAAATGACCTCGTGATCTGTAACTCACTTTTTAGTTGATGACCAGAGAGCTTGTATAATTTAAAAGTATTTTGTAACACCGAAGAAATAAAACGTGCTCCAGGTTTGTGACTTTAGAAAGTTTGCTAGTTTTTCATGGGTTTTTGTCAGTTTTCTTCTACGTGTAACATTGACATTTATAAACCATGATAACAAAAAGAACTTCTCCTAACAATTTTGAACGTTATGAGCACAAAAAAGATATGTTAATATCACCCAATTTAAGTGATGAAAGATAAAAGTCGTTTGTTTTTAAATTCTCAAGAAAAACTAGAATATTTGTCACGATTTTGATTGGCTCTTCCCTGTACCGTACTTTACTGCTATATATTGTTTTACCTTATATATTAGGGATTCCATTTTATGTATTAAAATCAAGAATTACATATGACAATTGATCGCATTACAAATAATCGTTTATATATTGAATAACTACTGATATGTTAGAAGTAACTTTGATAACATTTTTTAAAGATATTAGGTAGTTGGTCTCAGTCGACAAGAAACTCTTCTCAACCTAGGTTTTATCCGGTGTTAAAAGTCAAGTTCTGAAGACTTTTATCACCCAATGAAAACAACTGATCAACACAGTGATTGTCTTAAATTGCTACTGATTTTAGCAGCATCGATTTTAGTATGCGTTTTAGAGCATTATGTTGTACATATTGGCATAATGAATTCAGAACCGTCTATCATAACCAACGAAATCATTATGTCTGATTTGTATACGAAGATATTGTTTTACATTTATTACATAGTGAGTAGCGAGACAATCATTTATGTGGAGAATAATGATCTGACTGACTAAACTGATTCATAACTCAATGAAACGTAGTGTACCGCATTAATTCTTAATTTATCTTTACATACAATTCTCTGTAAATATGTCCAGTGGTTAAATGAGGTCGATAAGTGGATTCGTATGAAACCTTTATGTCTGTCGACATTCATCGAGAATTTTTGACTGAAACCGTTAAGCGAGTGATGATCTAGTATAGGTCAGATCACAACTTATCCTCGATCCAATCTAAGAAGTACGACGATCAAACAATTCTTGTATCAGTGATATTTTATTGCTTCGCTAGATGAGAGTTTTTATTTGGTAATCTATCGTAACCATGCACAACAACCCATTTATTGTAAAATCTGTCAGTAAATGGTACAACGTAGCTTCACTTAGATCATATGATAATCGATAAATTACGTTTCCTGTTTAACCTTAATATGAATAAGCCAAACTGAGCAAATATGATTCCAGCTAGTTTGCATTGGTTAACCGTCTTCAGTAATGTAATGTTACTAAAATTTAGAAGAGGAAGTTAGTGCATGATTAATTATTATTGTCTTGATGTTTATGCATATGATTGAGATATATCTATCACCCCCTGAACATTATATTTACTTGCTGGATTTCATGTTAAAATAGAAGAAAATCTATGAGAGCACTCTTTTTTAGTAGAGCGAGAGTGAAAAATACGCAATAGTTTACACTTGAAACCTGTTTTAATCAGAGTGCCTCTGGCTTCTGTGAAAATATTGTGCAGAATAAAGTCATTGGTCATTGAATAAAACTCACCCTAATGAAGATTAAACACAATTTTAATTGAATGATGCTACCTAACACAACCGTTATTTTGATAGATGTTGTCGGATTTCCAGTTGCTTGATGGTTCTATTAATTTGGTCCGAATTAGAGAATATAGTATCTCAATTTATTCACTTAGATTATCGACTTATCGCTTTTTGTCTGTATCAAG